ATTCTTTTTATTTCCACTCGATTCTTCTTCTCAATTCTTCTCCTTGTACTGTTCCTTTATTCTACAGTATCCTTAACATGCATTTTCAAGGAAGGAGAAGGTCAGATGCAAATTCGCTCGTTTCTCTTCTTGGAGATTTCTCTACTTATCTAAGCAGCCATGCTGGCGCCAGTTAATTCGCGTAAAAAGGCCTTTGGCGACTCGATAGCGAGTCCAGTCTTTCAGATTTACGTGTCGACAAAATTCGGACTTTGTAACGAAATTGGACCTCCGAATTGCGACTCATTGGTTCTTCAAAATAGAACAACGTTGTTGTTTTCACGAAATGCGATTATGACTGTAGTAAATGCAATTCGAGTTTAACAGTATTTTTAGCTTCCACATAAAATTTGCAAAAACAACTTTAACTTAATTAAAATGCTAGATTTTGCATTACGCATAGCAATTAAAATTATACTATGGAATATACAAATGAAGTCTTGGGAAAGAGTTGATTATACGTTTGATAATTTTGCTAAACATAAAAAATGGAATAAAAATTTCAACTCATAACAGGATATTTTATACATCATTTGTAATCATTTTTTTTTAAGAAGAAAAAAAGATCTAATATATAAAATATCTAAAATGAATAAGAGAAAAAATGCAATGTTTTAGTAAATCTATATTGATAAATAATATATTAAAATAGCTTATTAAATTATTTTTATTATAGACAAAAAAAATGAAAAAAAATTATTGAATTTATGAAATTACACATATTTAAAAAATTAATATTAATTATGCCAAGATCTATCTGTTTCCCCATTGCGTGAATCGCAATTATATCGTCTTTAGCGGATATTTATACGATGATCCAATCCAATAATCAGATCAGTTCAATTATCAGCATTATCGATAGAGAATACGTGTACATCGAATTCCTTCCTAATTTATTCACCTAACTACTTGGCACCGCGTACATAGGGCTTAATCTAATCAGGCGCCGTCCTCATCCATGCCGTCGTTCGTGCTGATCGAACTGACGCACACACCCACTTGCCATCGTATGTGAATGGTTCGTCCACGATTTCAATCTAGCCGCTCGTGCTACCGTTCTTGGGATATCGAGCAGGAAGGAAAAACGAAGAGGTGGATAGAGGAGAATGAAAAGACGAAAGAAAATGCGCATGCACGCCACTCTGCATAGGAACGTCTAAATTCCTTGGACCGCACGTGCTTGGAAAAAGTCAAATGGCGGAATTAACAAAATCTTATCTTTTTACAAATTGATAAAATATATTACAACATATGCATGTATAAGTTGCAAAGATTACCTTACTTTTTTTCTCTAATTTTTTATATTATAAAGTTTATTTAAAAAATTAATAAGAATATTTTAGAGTATTCGTTCTAAAACATAGATCTTCAAAAATAATAAATAATACCTATATTTATATTTTTAAATATATATTTATTAATTCTTTTAAAAAAATTCAAACATAGCAGTAGTAAAAATTAGTTAATAAAATATAATTATTTTTATTATGATTTTCTAGATAGAAATTAAATAAATTTTACATAGAATATTTTTTCCAACTCTAACAAATATTTCTTCTTGCTGTATTAAGCGTGGTTGTTTGCATTTACATTTACATCCGGCAAATGAGAGCGGAAATCCTAATCGCAAGTCCCTACACCCTTTGAACTCGTTAACTTGCCCCTTTAAACATTCCATTCCGTTGCGAACGAGAGCGACGGCGAGAAATTCCAACTCGTGGAATTTTATTTGCTACCATAAGCTACCATGTACCAAGTCAGAATATTCATTCGAGCAGCAGTATTTAATTCGAGTACAGAGACATAGACATCCTACACACCATAAGCCCCAAAGATATAATATTCAACATCATCAACCCACGCGACACTGGTCGTGAAGCATGCTTTCACTATTTTTGGTGTTCATATTCGTAAAAAAAATATTGAATTCTTTTTTTGAAGTTGTTCAAAATTTTTCTGAAATAACTCTTTTTTAATCACCGTTAAATTATCTATTGTTTGCAATGGAAGATCATGGAAAGGATACTTATAAAATAAATAATTAATATTGATATGCATGCTCTTATATTATGGATGGACGACTGTGAGGCTTCTAAAGATAACGAAATAGCTCGTTTTCGGGAGTGGCATTTAAATGTCCTCATTTCCAAAAGTCTTTTTCTCTTGGTCCGACGTAATTTTGAACATTTGCGAAGCTTATTCTCTCCTTTTATCTGCCTATTCAGCAGTTTTATTTTTTCCAATACTTCTTTTTCTATTTTATGTACTTATTAGTTTTCTATCTTTCTTGGAATATTTCATTTATTTTTCATGGATATAGTACAAAATTAAGCAATAGAATTATTTATTTCTTTATTGTTATAAACATAACATTTGTATTTATTACAAAAACTGTAAAGAGATATTGATATATTGTATCTATTTAATTTGTAATCTACAACATAAAATAACGTACCTATTACAAAAATTATAAAAAGATATTGATGTATTGTATCTATTTATTTAATGACAAAATGAAACTGTTGATTTTTTTATTAGTTTTATTCTTAAAGTAGACATTTAAAAATTTTACAAATTATTGGAATTTTTCGATACTAATAATGCGATTTTCCATATATCACGTAATGTTTTTCTGAATGATACAATGAATGCAGTCTATCATATGTCTATATTTCACGATAACGGCCTTATCCGTGATTCGTGATGCATATTATCACAACAGCTTGTAGTTGGCTCATAGGGGCAGACGAGCATGGATAAATCAAGATACCTATCTAGCTAATCATGAGTAGTGCTTAGCTTGACTACGTGGGACGTTCTCTGCTAGCTCGCCACTTTTGCTTAGAACCAATTCAATCCGTTTCAAACAGGAAGATCGTATAAGAGAGACAGAGAAAAGGAGAGACAGAGAGAGAAAGAGAGAGAGAGAGAGAGAGAGAGAGAGAGAGAGAGAGAGAGAGAGAGAGAGAGAGAGAGAGAGAGAGAGAGAGAGAGAGAGAGAGAGAGAGAGACGAGACGAGAGAGTACGTACGTACGT